CCACCAAGGTTTCTTTCTATAGACAACTTATACGAAAGTATTCTCGAAAGTAATAAGCATTAGGCAAGGTACAAAAAGTCAGTCATTTTTCTTCTGATTTCATAATAATATTTCACAGCGTTTCTTTTTATCGAGACACATAAAAACTAATTTCTACAAACCAGTTGTTTGAAATTTGAACAACATAAAGATCAGAATAAATCTAGAAATCGAAGTAATTAAAAAAGATGTTGTGAAATATTATTATGGAATCAGAAAAAATGTTGACTTGTTGTATCTTGGTTGAAAGTAATTACTTTAAACAACACTTTTATAATTTATCTTTAAAAATAAAAACTTGATGATGTCACCTATCACAAGAGAAAAGTCAGTTGATAAAGATCAATCAATAATGAAGTTATTCGAAAGAAACATTTTTGAGTATAAACTTTTGAGACATCCTGTACATTTGTCATTTCATCATTGAAACGTCATTTTGAACGTTAACGTGTCTGCTTGGAATATGATGAATAACATCATCGTAGAAGAGCCTAGTATATAAGATCTGCGACATACCAATTCAATGATGGCAGTTAACAGAAATCATAGCATTTTATTTAGACGTCGAAAACAAACGGCTATTTATCTGAGATGCCTTTTAATTATTAATGTAAGGAATCCTTTGGCAAGGATGTTTGGATTAGTAAGTCATGTATTATTTTCAATAAATTATTCCTTGTTTATAATGTAAAGAGTTACAAAAACATTTCAGATTTTCTTTCAATGGATGTCTAGCTTTGTTATATGTGACATGTGTTAAGTGATTGTTCCGACATATATACTTTTCCTACTCTGATTTTCTTCAAGTAAACGTTGATAAATAAAAAACAATTATTTTAACTTTCTGGCCCCAATATATCATGTAGATAGTGCACAAATAAACATTTATAAGTAAAGATAGTATATGCGTAATTTTTTTCTCTAAAAATAAAACAAATCTTGAGAATGAACTGTTTTTCAAATAAAGAAAACAACATTCAAATACGACAGTAAATATTCATGGCTAGGTTTTATATCCATCAGACGACTATGACTTTCTCAAGATTTACCTTTTGTGAATAAATAAAAAAATTTTCGCTATGCTGCAAGTAGTGTCTAGCTTCAAAAACTAATCTACTACGACTGGTTGTTTTTTGGTTTCTTCAAAACCTTCATACAATCATCGTCGTAAGCCTTATATATTACAAACATCTATAAAAACATCAAAGAGCATGAAAAAGATTCTTGCAGATAACGCTTTCTCGAGACTTTTTTCTTGCGATTATTAGGCTATGGGTTGAAAGAAGAAATATCCGCATTCTACATGTAATGCAGGTAACTTAGCAGACAGCTTTCTGGTTGGGGATAAGTACGCTTTTCACTTATTTTTTATCATACAGTTTGAAACTCTCGTATGTAAACTCAGCATAGATTGTATGCTTGACAAAATATCACAATTTCTAAGATATAGATAAACACTTTATTTTCGTAGAAAATATGTAATAATGCAAAAATAATCAGTTAAAATATCTTAGTAATCCTCTGTTGGTTTGTCGACCGTTCTTTCTATTTTTTCTGCATCATGTTCGAGTACAGTGTTTTTTATTCTGTTGATATCGACTCTGTTTTTGAAGAATTATTGACATTTATAATCTGTTTCAGATTAAAATTGCAAGAATGAATAATTCATCAGCGAACAACTTTGAATCAATACAAATCGATAAAATAAAAAATCATATTCTTTCTTCGTGGGGTATTACTTATCTTGTGTTTGGTAGTATCGGTACACTTCTCAATCTGTGTGTATTCACCCGTCGAGTTCATTGGTCTTTCTCACCATGTATACCTTATTTGTTCGCATCAGCTTTGGCAACCATACCACTCATGTACGTGTCTATTTTATCACGTATTGGCATTGGCTTTCAAATCACTCCATTCTATTATATTGCCATCTTGTGCAAGTTTCAAGTTTATATATCTAATGTTTCGGTTAGTCTTGTCATATGGTTCATGATTGGTTCTTGTTGGGATCGTTATTTATCGTCATCAAGAAATGCTTTGACACGAAGGATGAGTTCTCTACGTAATACACGTCGAACAGTATTGCTCATTACATTTTTTATATCAGTTGCTTATGCACAGATATTCTATTGTTTCGAAGGAAATCTTACCATGGCTGCTGCACCTTGCTCACCCAAGAATACACAATGTAGTTTTATCGATACAAGTCTTCTTTTTTTCATTCAATTTCTCACACCACCTTTAATGATATTCTATTTTGGCATAAACATTTATTTAAATGTTCGCCAACTGAAACACCAAAGGCAAATATTAAACATCTCCATCAGCCAAACAACACAAACACGAAATAATCAAAGAACAGATCGAATACTTTTACGTATGGTATTCATTCAAGTGACCTTACTTCTTATATGTTCATTGCCTGTTTTTGCATTTCGATTATACACAACTCTTACATTGACGACAACTAAGAGTGTTGTACGTCGTTCAGTGGAAAATTTAATTTTCAATGTCACTTTAATGATATATTATGTCGAAAAAATATGCTCATTTTATATTTATACAATTACTAGTCATCATTTTCGAAAGATATTATGGAAATTTATTACTACTATTTGTTCTGCTAATATTATTGTACCTGGAAATTAAAGTTGACTTGATTATTTTTACTAATCAATATTATTGTGTCTTAGTGAATATCATCATATTTTTAAAAAATTAAATAAATAAATATTTGAGAAATATCTATTCGTTGAATGATCATCTACAAAAGAAAAAAAAAGATCTCGGCTGACTCACCAGATGAAGAAAATGCCTAACAAACTGAGAAGTTATGAATGCTCTATGAAATAATCTCATTGATATCAAAATTATAGTTCGATAAGCTTCGAGTTCGATGATAATAGCATTATGTTGAAACATGGCAGTACATTTAGATTTAATGCAACATAACGAGCAACAATTTTAAAATGATTTTGATAATATTCACGTATCATATTTACTTGATTTGAATGGAGTAGGCTAGTTTTTCATGAGAATACATAGGATTCGCTTTTACTTTCATTCTTGTTTGTACTTCCAATAAAATTGATAAATATCAGATATATGTCAATTATCCCAGTTCATTTTTATCGTTTACACTGTATCGTTATTAGTTTTGTTTCAAATTTCAATCTCGTACTTGATTTATTATATATATTGTGCATTTGAATGAAATGATTTTCATTAACGTTAATCACTATCTACGTCGATAAAAAGAAGACATTCCGAGCAGTTCATTCTCAGATGAACAAATTCCGACACGTAATTTTTATTTTTAGCTGTTCAAAATTGGAAGATGCAGGTCAGTCTTTGAACTGGCAATGCAGAAGTGATTTTTGAAACGTTAAAAGAAGAAGAAACACCATTTTTCGGCTCTCAGTGACAAAACGGTCCAGGTATGAAAGTTTTTCAAGATATCTCCCAAAATATCTACGCAACTATCTGTAGGAAAAAAAGTTTGATTGTGTTATGTAACTGTCATCGTAAAACATAGTTTCGTATAACCCATCTATTTATGTAGTCGGTTGTAAATACTTCTACGATTCTAATCATAATACTAGACTATGCGTCCATGTTAGGTTCGTTTAATACCTCATGCTAGTGCAATTGCAGAATTTTCATAAATAGATTATTCATCAAAACTTTGTAAACTCGTTTTATTTTGCAATTACAACCATGAACAATCACTGCTATTGATTTATGCCGAGACGATCAAGCAAAATACTTGGTCTTGATGATTCGTATCACTGTGCAACTAAGGAAGAGACAATGATGAAAAAATATTTATTCTTAATAGCTGACCGTCTTCGAAGCAGATACGAATAAGTGTAATAAATCTCGCAAGTACTGACTGTAAAGTAATAGAGAAATGAAAAACTAGCAACACGTATAATTTTAATAACAGGCTGTTCGAATTGTAAGTTTTTATGGTCTTAACAAAACGATTCAATTCACTTCTCTTGTTTCATCATCGAGACTATTATGTCAATTTTCAATGCATTTCTCATCATGAATTCGATACTAATGTGTGCACAATATCTACCATTGATTGCCGATCGAGTTGTTACACTTCGCCTATTGGACGATATCAAGATTTTCTATCTAAACTATCGGTTTCTTTCCTATGGTTTCTCCATCAGTTAATTGACTCATTTGAAATTGCTTTCTCTTCATGCATTTTCTTCTAAACAAAATAATCACAAATGCAATACCATATATTTATCATCTTTCTCATGTTACTCGTCTGAGCATCAACCAGTGTTTCCAATTAGATAAAGACGAGTTAGGCGGTGTGATGAATCATATTTGGCATCTGCACAAAATTACTCATTACAATCTGAGTGACACTTGGGTGTCAGCAGAAGCTTTCATCATCTATTAAGCATCTCGCCATGGATTATGCAACGTTTTGTCCTAATGAACTTGCTCATCTGATCGAACAAACACCTCCTCTTTGATATCTTTGTGTGAGAGCTCTGTGGGATCGCAAGGCTCAACTGTAATCAATTGCTACTCCATGCATCATCACATTGACATCACAGTTTCGTCACTTATTACGTTCGTTGAAGAATACTTTCGAAAGTATAGGAATCTGTGTCATCTACCGCTCAAAACATTACCTATTTGCTTGAGTGGGTATGAATGGGATCGAATCATTATCGATCATCTACCTAGCATCAGAACTTTTCAGCTGTAAATAAACTTTAGGTTCCGCAGTGATGATACGCTAGAAAAGCAAACAGATGAATTACTTAATACATTTCACATTCCCTTTTTGTTCGATGTGGATGGAATTCAGATCACATTTTATTGTATGCCTATCTGGGATGATATGTGTCCGATCAGGAGAAACAGTTCAAATCAACTTGTTCTGATGAGTGAGACTCTTGAACGTCTATCATCTTAAAATTTATCGTTCGATTCATGGTAACGTTTCGTCGACCATTGTCACGCTAAATCACTTGACTACTTTGGAAGTATCATAGCACGACAACAGTGTTGTCTCTCAACTGCAAGCTTTGCTTGGTTCTACACGTCGTCAGTATTTGTTGATTTCCTAGAGTAAGTTTGACTTATCATCAGCATAACTCAAAATTACCAGTGTAATCAATTCGTCGAGTCGAACTATTTGAGAGAATTTATATTCAAATGTATTACGTCCACAGTGCAGTTTGCTCAATTCTGTGCTGCCTTGTCTAATGCTACGGCTCACAAATGTATGTTCAACAGTTTTCATGTCGTTGACGTGATAGATATTTTACGGTATTTAAAATGATATGTTAAAAGTCAAAATCTAGGAAAAAAGTCATAAACTCTAACTTGTACGAATAACTGTCTAATATATCTCGAATATTTTCATAGGCGGCACACTAGAAAAGAAACTAGAAGCGATTGCTTCCTCTGACTTACTCAGTTTCGCTGATATTGATGACTGTGACAGAATATGTTTTGAAGTACTACGTTGCAGTACACAAAGAGACGGATGACTAAGGAAACTCACATCATTGCTGAGACAGAACAGTTGATATTTCAGTGATGTTTGTTTCGATACATAAACGAACTTTCATTCTACCTTTGCTATTTTCTTCTGATCTCCCTACTTTTCGCTTATGGAGATTGCTTTCCTTGTAACTTCGTCGATCTTTTTTAAAAACCTTAAGTTCGTCTGTTGCTCTGTCATCAAATATGTGAAAAATAACTTTTATGATTAGTTTTCGACAAAAATAATTTGAGGGTATGGATGGGGGGATATGGATATGGTTATGCATATAGGTTGTGGGTATGAGTGTGAGGCTTCTTCTAGCTCTTCCCCACCCACTCTCTACACTTATGGTTTCTACTGTGGAATTTACAATAGTCTGATCTTTTTCTGTTTCATGCCCCCTAGTGTTATTGCCAAACAATAAATTTAGAGCCTTGGAGTCATAAATGTAAAGAAACTATGAAAAATGGTCATTTTATTTTAATTGGATGGTCCTCCCCTTTTCGACTGTACCGGGACCGGCACCGGCACCGACACACACATACACAAACCCCACACGCACATCCACATCTCAGCCATCTGCCATCTAGCAACATCCACACTCCACAATAGAAAATGCTAATAGCCATGGTTTCCCAGTTTTCACCACGTCCTGTCATTCCCTGTAATAAGAAGTGTACCTAAATATTTTCATAGTATGAGCTTGTTTGGTTAAACTATGAGCTCTCTCTTAATTGATCCATCACATTTTCTTTTTACGGAGCAGATTCTTGTGTCCTCTTTGAACACCTAGCACCGTCGGGTGATCTGGTTCGAATGTATGAAGCAAAATGCCAATGGCTTCAAGAACATGTTGAATTGCTTGATCGTACTGATCAAGATTCTCAAGAGTCGAGGCCACATTGCAATGAAGGGTGTGGGTGTGGGTGTGGATGTGTTGGTCTGTGTCTGGGTGGGGGTCTGGGTCTGAACATGGAGTGTGGGTGTGGAAGTGGGTGTTGGTGCGTGGGTCCGGGTGCAGGGTGTGGGTCTGGGCATGGAGCGTGACTGTGAGTGTGGGGCTCAATTCTGCCCATACACTCACACCTACATCCATATCTACCCTATATTACTGTGCAAAAAAACGTTTTGTGTGCCAGTAGCTAAAAATAGCACTTCGCTTTGTCGCATTTACTTTCACTAGAGAGTGATGACACATGGTATGAAATGAGTCAAAAGATCAACTGATTCCCATTCTGAAGAGAACAAGAAAGAACAGAAAGGTAATAAAGTATGAAACAGAAAACTACGTATATAGGTGAAGCCCAACACACCTTTAAACGTCCTCTTTTAAAAATCGAAAATGTTTCTGGAGCATTATAATTCACAGGAACTAAATAACTCGTTAGTTCATATCTAGAAAGTCTCCTTTAGGCCAGTCTGAAACAGACCGCCTCTGAAACAATGAACTCTTGTTAAAAAATAAGTGATATAGACACTATTTCGCAAGAGAAATGTAAGTCAAATAAAAGTGACGACGTATTTTTATTACTCATTTTTCTGTTCTCTCCACTTTTTACTAATAAATATGCACAAATAACATATTTAATGTCAAAAGGCTAATAAAAACAAATGTCATTTACGTATATACCAGATAAATAGTTTTTTTTCTTTATTCATCAATATTCTAACTTAAAAAAGAAGAGGTACTTTCGTCCTGTTTGATCTGCCAGTATTCGAAGAGTTTTCTAATATTCTTTCTTTCATTGGATCGACAGTTATCTCTATTGCTACTATTACATGCTTTATGCTTCAACAAGCAAAAACAAAAGCAACTGAACCGCCTTCAACGTCACTGCAAGAGCTCAGCAACGAATTTCGTGAACAGTATGTAAAATCTCGTGATAATTTCTGGCGTACAACAACGGAAAGTGGTACGGTCATCAGCGGGAATGGCAGTTCCCTTACGCTTATTCACAGAGGAACTCGTTACCCAACGGTCAAAGGAATTCCACAGATTTATCATGATCTAAAGAGTATTTCACATATTCCACTTACTGTCTATCTCCTTCTTATCGACAACTTCTCTACTTTATCCGAGAGCAAACTCGTACAATACTGGGAAAAGTTAAATAATCTTCAACTACCAGATTCAATCGACCCAAGCGAACATGTATTGGCTCTCGAAATTATTCGTGAATCACAAACACTCACTTGACAAGAGATCGACAATAAAGGATCAGTTGATCAAACTCGTCTGACGACTTTCTGTCGGCAACTCTCGAATCATCTTTTTTCTCTGTTAAACGCAGCCGCTATCGCTCAGTTAGATTTTATGCATCGTATTATTCAAGATTGGTTCAGCCAGCATAACATTAATCGATACGATCCAACACTAAAAGTACTTCTCATCAGTGCTCGAACAGCTCGGCAAAATAATCTTCAGTCAATTTATTTTGAACGTCTTCTGGGCAATGACCGAAGACGAAATATTGTTTATATTGAAGAACTATTCGACAATGAACAGAAAGCCATTTCGGTTTTTTCCACGTGGTTCTTCGATGAACAATTAAGTGAAACCTTTTTTTATGAGAAGGATCGAATGCATAGTGATTTGCTTATGAATGACAAAGTGCGACAATACATCGAACAACTAATTCCTTGTTAGTTACTATATTCTTTTCATGTCATTAAGATCTAGAGACTATATTTTTCTTGGTACATTTTTTCGAATGAAACATAAAATGATCTTTAAATAAATGAAACCTACATGAACTTGATATTTCATAACCAAATGAAAAAATGATAATACGATTTTCGGAGAAGAACATTTTTTTCGTTTTATTAGGATCAGCAGGGTATGGATGTTGATTTTTCAGTCACTCGCATTGATACACCCCTACACTGTCACCCGCATCCAAATGCTGCTTTGCCTTCCTTTTACGCTCACTTCAACATATTGCCACTAACATCGTTCATCTTCGGCATAGACTTAGAGTCATTTTCCGAAAACAAAATTCTTAATTAATTCAACTGGTGGTGAAGAGTTATCCAAAATTGAAAAACAATATTGAATTAAAGTGTACGATGTAAATTTACAAAAAAAATCAAGTCTAATGTCTGTTTAAGTTATCATATAAATTCTATTGAGAAGATTATACATTTAAAGTATGTTAACTAATCAATTCAATGATACTCAATTAATAATAATCTATGACAGAGTGTGGGTGTGAAAGTATGGGTATGGATGTGGATGTGAGGGTCTAGGTGTAGGTGTGAGAATCATCTTCACTCGAACTCACATCCACTCATTTTGTTGCTAGAAAAGCTTAAATTATCTGCCGACGTCAATGAATTAACGAATTCGATCATCTTGGTCACAAAAGTAACATGAAACACATTTTATTTTTGCTTTTATTTGATTTTATGTCGAATAGTATTATACAAAGGCATAGAACATTATGAATTGGTAGTTGAAATAAGCGTTTTTATTAGGTTGAAGGCCATTGAGATGTATAGTTGTTGAAGTGTTGTTGTTGGCGTATAGCATCCATCAGTTCATTGGTTTCTACAATTTGTTGAACAATGTCAACGAACCGTTTTAACTTTCCCGGATATCCAGATCGGTCGATTGAAATACGTAAACATCGATGATATGCTTGACAACGATGATAATGCTCTTCATTGAACATATCATCAGTTGATTTTAAAACTGAAAATGGTACTAATGGCCAAGCTAAATGTGCGCTACATTGCGTTTCAACAGCACGTAGCCCAGACAGATCTTTGTTTTCTATGAGCTCCTTTACATGTACAACATTAATCGCATTTTGGCTTTTCAGATATGGGTCGCCCATTAGGAATGAATCGAGTGAGTGACCCAGTTCTTTTAATTTTGACATAAGCTGAGCCAAGAATTTTCCATCAGTTTGATGGGGCATAGAAATCATAATAATTGTACCGAGATCATCTTCAGTAAATTCATATTGCACATTACTTCGGTTGATTTTAATGGGGGATGTTGAACTTTCATGTTGATGATAACCATCAAATACAGATCGCAACTCATGAAGAACAGGTGAGCGCCAATTGTGCCAATTCGCTGAATTAACCAAATCATCAACGCCGATTGCTAAGCCTGTATTAAGCATATTGATATTGACGTATACCTTGCAAGCAAATCATAATTAAACGTAGATAAGTGTCTGTCTAGCAATAGGAACTTCACAACGCAAAAATCTCATGGTTCTAAAACTGAAAGAGCTCTCAATATCTGAAATGAAAACAGATGGAAGACGTATGTATATAGATCTCATTGTGACAATTAAAATTACCAGGTTAATTACAATCTCACGGAACTCTATATCGACGTAGAAAAAAGAAAGATCAGAGAAATCGTTCGACTATTGTTTGAAAGCATCTGAAAATGCAAAAGAACAGGATTGATTATTATCAGTATAGACGACAAAGAACAATAGTTTTATGTAAATCGAGAGTGAAGTGTCTCATTATTATAGTTTCTAAATTGTATACCGGACCATCCTATAGAAAATATAGTGCAATATAATTCACTGAATTCTGCTCTATAAATACTCCATCACTTGTGTTGTCAATTGTTCTTAGTGATCCCAGCTGAACCTTTTTTGCTTTCTTGTATGGTTTCAACGTGTAAGTCCTCACCTGCGCTAATAGTTCAATTGAGAAGTTAGTTCGGGGTGCCATTCTTGTCCGAAGTTCAGGATATTTTTTCAATAATCTTTGACTGACAAGAGCAATAGCACTCGTTGTTGAGAAACGTTTACTATATACAATAATATCGACATTTTGAAATGGATGCGCATCTTGACAAGCATCAACCAATGTCACAATCTTGCCAGGAAAACGTTCATTTAGTACTTGATGAATTCGATCAACATCGATATAAGCTCCAAAACGATTTTTTGATGTGAGTAAAATGAGCATAAGAGGATGAGGTTGATTAGTACTGTTGCAAATATTTGAACATTGCTCTTGAAGTTTATTCAAAATCCATGTGGTGTTATGATCCTCGGTATTTGTCATTGGTGAACCAATGAATTTATCATTAAGAAAAATGTGTCGTGCTAAATCAACATAAAGTATATAATCGCACCCACTACTGTTGATAAAAAATGTATTTTGTCGATCATGAAAATAGAAGTAATTTAAACATTGTTCGATTATATTATTAGTCGTGAAGGGAAACAAATCATAATTTATCCAGTATTTACTACCTTCATTGCGTACTAATTTACAAAGCGAATCAAATAACGTACTTCGATACTTGGTAAACAATGGATCAGACTTGTTATACTGAGCAGACAACACAGCCGAAAGATTAGTTACTGTTTCCGAGAAAAGTGGTCGAGCACCACCACCAAGAAATATTGGTTCAATAGATCGTTCATTATCGTTCCATGCTCTTTCAATTTTACGAATTTTATCGTCATGATATCCGTCTGAGTAGTCCGCAGAAAATCGTTCCACAAAACGTTTAGTTGTTTCATTTTGCCATGAAATGTAAGCAATGATTGAACCGATATAATCCGATGGTTGAATAATGGTTAGCATTTTTGATTTGAAAAATTTCTTCAACATTTCTCTTCCATCCAAGACTGCCCTTGGTGTGTGTGCATTGGTATGAATCGTATCCCAAATGTAAGTAACAGAGGAGTTAATTGATTCCTACGAATGATGAAAGAAGAAATTTTATATTTGATTTTATTTTTCAGCATAATATATTAAGAAATCTTTTTTGAACAATATATTACCATTAATGATTCTCGAGAAAGTCTAAGGGTGAGATTCCACTGTAGTGTAGCTACTGTGGTTTCAAGATGGAGCAACATTTGTATGAGGTGATTCTGCTGTTGAACAGTAGCTATGCCTACATCATTTGTGTGATAATGATTATCTCTGGCATCTTCGACATTTGATACCATTTTGTGATTGAACTCGATTAGTGAGTTCATAGTTTCTTGGAGCTTCATACGAATCATATTCAAATCATCTAGAGTAACCATTCTGGAAAAATATTGTGTGAAGCAAGAAATAAGACACCTTCATTTATATCATGGCCCCATGTAAAAAAACAACGCAAATTGTGTTGGAACTTACCGTCATTTTCAATGTAATTTCGAGATACTTAATAAAAATTTGTCTTTTCTCTATTTGCAGTTTCATCAATTTCTGATGTAATTTCAAGTTATTTCGATAAAACCAATGAAAAAAAGCAGATTCCGATAGATCCCATTTGGTCCCGCAGGCGGCAAAAATCAGATCCCAGTGAATCCCATCGAATTCCATGGATCCAATGGGATCTATCGAGATCCGCTTTTTCCCTTGATAACATCTCTTGAGTGTGAGTGTGCTCGGATGTAGATGTGGATGATTGTTGGGTGCGTGCCAATGTGGAGTGTGGGGTGTGGTTGCCTGCGAGTGCGAGTTTGGATATGGGTGTGGGTGTATGGGTATGGTATAAGTGTGATGATGTGGAAGTGGTGCAGATGTGCGGGTATGACTATGACCGTTGGCTTTCGGAGGAAAAAACTTTAACACTGATGTTACACACCAACAGCTACATCCAGACTCTCATTTCCACACCCTACACCCACACCCACACCCTGCGCTATTGATGCTTTTTTTCATAGAAAAATCGAAAATAGTATAGAATATACGTTAAAGGTTGAATAAGTGGATGATGGATATGATTGTCACATGTTCCCATGTGAAGGAACAGAATAACATGGAATATAGTTGACAAGCGCATTACCTAGTGATAAAAGCTCGGCATAGAAAAACTATTGATTTTATGAGTCATGATAAGTCATTGCAATGACGAAAGGACAACACAATAGAAAAATGAAGAGAGTATATTGACTCAGGTGAAATCTCGTGCTCTTCTTGACTCTTAAGGGTCTATTTTCTCTAGTAATAGGTGTCTTTCACATTTAAAAACGAAGGATCATATTGAATACAATCAGATAATATATTGTTTCATAGCACAACATTGACTAGAAAATAAGTATGACATCATTTGCAACTATTTAATGAGAGAATATTATGTCATTTGAAAGTTTCTCGTCTCTGTTACATCATCATTTTCCACTAATGGGTGTGTGGGCGGATGTAGGTATGTGTGTGGGTGGTGAGTGATGTGGATGTGTGGGTGATGTGAGTGGTGTGGGTGTGGGCGTAGAAATAAAATAAACAACACACATACACCCTTACACTCTCACCCACGCCTCACCCATACCCATCCATACCCATCCACACCCACACTCAAGAGATTTTATCAAGAGAAAAAGCGGATCTCGATAGATCCCATTGGATCCATGGAATTCGATGGGATTCACTGGGATCTGACTTTTGCCGCCTGCGGGACCAAATGGGATCTATCGGAATCTGCTTTTTTTTCATTGGTTTTATCGAAATAACTTGNCACCCCACACCCACACCCACACGCACACCCACACACACCCATACCCACCACTCACACACGCCCACACCCCCCACACCCACACCCCACACCCCTGGATGTGAGAAAGTGTGAATTCGGCTGCGCGATGTGGACGAAGAGCAGATACACGCATACGCGCACGCGCAGACGATTTCTACTGATATACTGATATCAGTAATTGTGTTTTTGGATTTTTACATATAACATGTCTTTTTTTAAAGTAAAATACGACACAAAAGATAAGACTGTGACTAAGTACTATAAAAAGGTGTCATTTTATCACATGTCCAACTTATATTCTTTCATCATTTAAAGGAATAATGTCAGTCGAAATAGTAGCATCTAATCTCCGAGTCATTTGCAGCCAAGAAGGAGAAATATCTAATAGATGTGAACCTCTTTATTTGCCCATCATTGACGATGCATTACCATTACCAAGTCTAGACGATGCATGTCAATCATTATTGGATCATAAGTTGTTCGACAGTGGATTACTTGAACAAGTTGAAACAGCTCGAAGTCATCAAAATACGGACCGATTACTCACATCTGATGAAGCCGCATCAATATATTTATATACAATGAAATGGAATGACGAACCACAAGGTAGCTTTTATGAAAAACTTAATTGTACATTAAGAACAGGTGATGAAAATTCAATAAAACCATGGCTTGATTATCTTCATCTTTTTACAAGTGCCCTGTTAAAGTTACCGTAAGTATTTCCTATAGATATCTTTTTTTTCCAGAAATCCAAAATATTAATTCGGTAGTCATAAATATATTTTTTAGGTCTGTCGAATCAACAACTCTATACCGTTGTGTAAAAGGTCATCTGTGCGATCTATATCAAGAGGATACTATACATATATTATTGTCATTCACTTCCTGCAAAAGATCTCTTGAAGACCTCGCAGAGAATGCTACAATGGGACAATGTACGATATTCTCTATCAAGACATATTCGGGTAAAATGATAGATAAATATGGTGGTGATTCTGGTGAAGTTTTACTGTTGCCGGGTTCTCGTTTTCAAGTAACAAAAATAAATAATGATTCAGAAATGCACATCATTGAAATGGATGAGAAGTCATCAACAGAGTCAATCCATGTACAAAATTGTGTAGCACAAGACACAGAGATCAGACAACGAAGACATGAAAATCAAAATGAACAACAAGTGTATCAAGAAGCAACAACTCATCATCAGTCTGCAAGCAATAGAGCAGGTAAATTTTACAAAACTCTAAGTGAATGAGGTACGATCAGTTTTGATCAGAAAATGGTAGCAACTTCAAAGCAGGAATCCGGTGACCGGACTTATCCAGATCTAGCCGAAATCGGCCGCAGCCGGACAGAGTCGAAAACTGAATGCAAAGCTCTGGATTTCGGCTTCGAAGTTCCTGCCATATTCTGAGGTTTTCCGACTGAATATGGCGTCTTTCCTGCAGGTTTCCGCCGAAAATTCGTGGACCCGAGACGCTAGAGTCGTTGACCTGGGAAACAAAAGAGTTTTATTTTGTTGAATGTTCAAACAATACCCAAATCTTATATCATTTCTTTTTCTTTTCAATTTTAAGCTTTGAACAATAATAATCAAACTGATGATGCCAAGAACAAGAATCATCAAATAGTGAGTTAATAATTCAAATTTTTATTATGTATTGTTTTACTTTGTATAGTGGTGGAAACAACCGAACATTATCTTTGCATTGATTATTATTACTATTTTCCTGTTTGCTCCATTTCTTTATTGGCTACTTTCTAAAGATCGTACATCAACTAAATCTAGTGAGTAACAGCTTCTATCATTCACAAACCGAAAATGACATAAAGATATTGAAAAATTTCGAACAAGTGAATTACTCGTTTTTGAAATGATATAAACACAAAGATTTAGTGTGATTCCTTTCGTTTCTGCATTTGTCATTATGAGAAGTAAACGTACGAGCTATTTTGTATACTCCTAAAAATCGTTAGTCTGTTTAAGCAAATATTCAGAAAAGAATAAAGAATGCGCGAAAAAAATATAGGACGGAGACGATGAAACACATTAGTGTGTCCGGACACTTAGCACGAATATAAAAAAAGTTCTACGTATTTTTCGGAAAGCCTTTAAATTTAGATGGATTCAAATTATGGATGTATCCAGGAAATCATGGGTGGGAGAGCAGTGTCCACCATACTTAAAAACTGTCTTCACTTTAGTTCAAATTTTTTCTTCAGTATAGATCAAGTTTCTCAATTGTCTAATACTCAGAGAGTGATACAAAACAATATATCTGTTCTATTATTCAATTAAACTAAATTTTAAAAAAAGAAAGAGAAAAGGGAAATAAACAACTTCCCCGGATTTTCTTGGAACTTTAATTCAAGTTTTAATTTATTATTTGGTAGAGCATGTTATCGTCTATCTTCAGTGGATGTATGTTTAAACCCTTGTGAAGATATAGTGCGTCAAATGTTACCTTGTATGAAAATTTGTTGGCAATTTTTATACAGTGACCAGCAATGTTTCTACTTCATCAAGTTTCGAATAGATAAATAAACAGCACATGTACGCCAACGTCATGTTTTAGATCGGTCATTTCATTTTAAAATCGGCTCATTGACTCTTTCTAAGAAATTAAATATATGAAAAAATCATACATAGGTTATCTTGTAAGACGTACATCCTCGAACAAAAATCTTTACCCTCTTTATTTTTTTTTATGTCAAATTTAGTATTAAATTATTACTGGGTAAAGATATGACATGAAAGTTTTATTTTATTGTGGTGTGCAGATCACACTGTAATAAAACTCTTATGATATATCTTTACTCAGTAATAAATTTCATGCAAAGTATAGTAATTAGTATAAAAAGACACAGGGGGAAAAAACTTTTGTCCTAGCCTGTAAAATGATTTGTTTCATACTTTTATAATTATTTCGTTAGTACAAATACACTGAATTGCACGATCTTGCTAAATTTCGTCCGAGACAGATAATGTTAGTGAAAGTGAATAATTTTTGTACTAAAAGCTAGCATAGATTCCAGTACATACTATGAATATTGAGAAATTTCGGTTTTAAACAGAACTTCAGAAAATATGAAATATTCGGAAACTCATTTTAATACGGTTCAACACATATATTACAGAATGATTTCAAACTTCGCATAACATTTATAAAAATTTTCTACAACATACCAGAGTGCCATTGCTGCAACTGGCGCAATATTATTAACTGATCAGAAGTATTTCTCTCATTTCATTTTTTTGTGAGAAACTTGATAGCATCAGAGAGCTCATTTACACGCCACAACTAGACTTGCGTCAAGCCTGAATATTTAAATTTGATGAATTTCCTTCAATATTTGTTGATTCGAGTTTGGGCACTTGTTTCCATCCTCATCTGTACATTTTCAAAATATTATCTGATGCGTAAATACAAAAGGAAAAAAAGCAAGGGACTGTATCTTCTATATAAACATTTACCGAAGCTAAAACTATTAATTGAGCATAAGTGTCATCTTTGACTAACATCAGCCAATCAGACTATAACCGACAGGTATTATCAAAAAAGCTGCAATTGTGGAATAAATCCTCAGTAACGATTATATTGCTTTCTAAAAATTTTAGATTATCACGTATGTTTTAATTTGTTCCTCTTATATGCGAAACTCTAGTTTTTCTGAGCTTGTACGCATCGCCCGCTTACTAAGTTTCTTTTTTTAATAATTTGTTATCAAGAGGGTTTTTCTCAGTAATAAACTACTAAAGCACATTTTTTCTAAAGATATTTGATATATACGTATATGTGTGCTTCACTATAACCAAGCAGTGAACTTTTCCTTAAAACTCTTAAGATTCTACAATTAAATATTTCACATATTAAGATGAACATCCAACGAAAACTATCAAATGTGTTACTAATTTGCACATTTATTATTTTTTTGTCTGCAAATATTCAAAAATTGGAAACAATTTATTGATGATAACCTGCTTCAGAACCTTGAAGAAGAATTATTTCATGTCGGATTTATAAAATACATAGTTAATAACGGTATCGAATATGTGAAAAAAATTGTTGTTTCATTTTTGCTAATACTAATTCGCAATTTTCGAAACCGAAAACTTCATTTTTTAGAAATCTTTCCAAAAAAGTGAGGCTGGGTAAGCGTAGATAATGAATCTGAAGTGCCAGCTATATGTACACAAAATATTAAGTCAATAGCTCCAATCATTAAAAAAATTTCTCCTGGCCCCCTTTTTCTGTCCACTGTATGGGCGTGGATGTTGATGTGAGTGTGCGTCGAGGTGTAGATCCTATGCTGATGAACATCCACATCCACCCACACGCTCATACCATGTAGTAAACGAATGATTTTTCTATCTTTTTTCTTGTGCTGCAGCAAACTGTCTGAATTCTTTTGTTAGATATCTTCTATCTCTAACCGTAAACAAGGAATATTATAAAATTTGAATTATACAACAGAGTGAGTTCGTCATTATAACTGCAAGATGAGTGTAGTTGCATCATAAGTATACTTAGAACGCGACTATGCTTTTATTCTTTTTATCCTATAGCAAGTCATGCAATATTAGTACAACACTTACACAAACTGTAAAAGTATAAATGATAAATGCTCCTATTTCAGTAATCTTCGGCGAAATATGCTTTGATATATAAGCATTTCACATTCGATCTGGGGTCAGATTCTTTCTATAATTTCTATATTTTATCTTATATTTCGATCGCTTTTTTCATTTTTCCTATATTTTGTCCAGAAAAGTAGAAAATATTCGAAAATCTGTGATCTCAGTCGATTGACACAACTTTGCTCGACATTTGGCTTAGCCCTGAGGGGATAGAGGCTCCTTCTCCCTCGTCATCATTTTTGATGAAAAACGAGGATATTTTCAGAAGTTGTTTCTAGAAAGTTTTTTCTATTGTAGAGAAAGGATATAAATACTAAATATTCAAACCAATTTTGTAACTTTTCATTATTCTTCCATGTATGCATGCATGCGTATTTATGCGCTTGTAATGCATATAAATACATATTGGCCACATTAATGAATTATATTTATTATTCAGATTTAACTATGAAAAATAGTATTTGCCTTATTTTTGCCAAGTTTATCTTTTCAAACTTGATGGTTTACTTTTTCTATTTGATAATACACAAATAAAATATATTCTAATTAAACTGTCTACGATAATTGAATTAAATTTTTATCTTCTGTAGTCATTCATAGTAACTCAATTAAGAGGATACCTCAAACGGCAAAGTTAGCGAAGCTGGACTCTTGAGTAGAAATGATACATAAAAAATTCTATATTTTTGTCATTGGTTACTGAAAATTCTATAATTTAGAAACCTAAATCGTATATAAATTCGTATATTTTTGAAAAACTCGTAATCCGAGACCAGCATTCAACAAAAAATCAATCGACCAACGTCTCCCTATTCAGGATAAGGATAGTATATCTTTGTATTTTAGACGTACCTACAAATGGCTTTTTCAATGAAACATATCAAGCAAACACGAAGCAGTCAAATGAAAGAAATTCAACATTATTAGGAATGGAGAGTTTTTCAGATGAGCTACATCAGAATGTTGATATATATGGCATCCTTAAAAATGAATTGGAAATGTTACAGACGAAGTTTCCTCAACGGTTTCAGAAACCAATCTATGTATTACCAAGTGTTGATATTAATATGAAAGATCAATGGAAAGAACGCTTGATACAAGCAAAAAATAACGAAAGTGGAGAACGTATTATACTTATTCCTTGCTACGTCGAAAGCTCACATTGGATTGGAGTGATAATAAAATTTAGTACCGACGAACACATTGAACAAGCTGAATTTTTTGATCAATTGATGAAATCTGATTTTATTCCCAATAGTTTGCGAGAACAATTCGCTGAAGTTTACCAAGGTTTCAATTTACGTCCTGGCGATTGTGATAAGCACGCCGATCGAAAACAAAGTGCAAGGTTAATGATTGAAAAGTTGTTATCGGTTGCTGAAGAGGGTAAGGGTTCAGAAGACGAAGAAGAATTTCCAATCACAAAAGAAAATCTGAAGAACTTGTATAATGATTTTTCCTCTATGCCCATTTGTGCTGAAAGATCCATTTTCAGTGTACTTTATCATGTGTCTCTCAAATTAGCAAGTGAAGCGCTACTATCAGATAATACCATTGTACTACCCGATCACATAGAAACAGAAATAGAAAAAGAATTTCAATTTTTGAAAGAACGTTTGAAAATAGAAGAATCAAAATATGCAAAAGTTCATGATTTACTTGATAGTTGCTTCGTATATGTGAAAAATAACGACTGGAAAGTTGTCATGACTATGTTGAGGAACATTTTGAAACAGATTAGCCCATTGAATATTCTAGAAATGTTTAGACTCATTGAAAAGGTGAACGATGCAGCAAAGTTACTTAAGGACCGAAACGTTATTCTTTTTCTAGGAGGGACGGGATCTGGTAAATCAACGACTATCCATTTTCTTGCAGGATCTAAAATGATAGAAACAAAAGTGAAAGGTTTAAATCATATTGCTGTTGATCCTGCCAGTATAAAAAACCTAGATCTGAAAAACGTTACAACTAGTCCGTTTGCGCAATCCGAAACGCGATATATTACACCTGTTAGAGTGAATTTTAAAGATGTTGGAGCATTCAGTAAAGGAAATATTGTTTTGTGTGATAGTCCAGGTTTTGAGGACACTGGTGGACCCGAAGTAGACATTGCAAATGGGATAGGAATTGTTCGAGCAATTCAAGAATGTCAAAGTGTAAGACCAGTCATTTTAATTAGCTATAAAAATATTGGCGATCGATTTGAACGTTTGAAAAGTCTAGCACATATGTTGGTGGGACTGATACCTACAATTGAAGACAATATAAATGCTTTCTCCTACATATTTACCAAATATCCTTTACATGAACGAGCAACAATTCATGCTTCATTGAGGAATGTGAAAGAAAAAATGAATGATGAAGAAACATCGGACATTGCTTTAATTAGTTTATTTGATGATATGATACGCAAAACAAAAAGAGGCGCACTATGTATAGATCCAATCAATGATGATCCAGGGGAAATTCTTGATGAACTCGCAAAATCTGCTACAATTTCCCATCCTGAAGAAGTTTTCCGATTTTTCATCACAGAAAAGTCGAAAACTATTGTAAAAGAACAAGTAAGAAAACATCAGTTCAATATTATGTCTGCAACAAAGCGTTTTGAATATTTATTTGTTAAATATAAATTGGATCAACTGAAACAATTAAGTGAGTTGCTTGATCTAGATTATATCAAACAAATTTATCATGATTCTATTCGACATGTCAGTAAGCACTTCAATCAAGAGTATGAAGAAGGTGTAGACGTGTTGCATCGTTGCCTTGTGAACCAACAAGTATTAAACGCTGAAGTCATTAGACAATTACAAGCTTACATCGAACACGCTGTGCTCGCAGAAGATTTAAGGAAAGTACATTTAGGGAAGGGAGTCGTTTCAAGTAGCGCATTTATTCAATATATGAATGAACAAGTCGATAGTTTACTCAAAAATTTAGAACAGAAAAATATTGATGATCCATCAGTGAAAGCTAGTTTAGATACCTTAAAACTTCTTTCTAATTCTTTTTCAGACACCATTATAAAATATAGGAATGTGTGTCAAATATTCGATATAAAACTCGAAAGCTTAATTGACTCTTTCAAACAATTAATATCGTCTCAAGACTTTGAAAAGATTGCTAATGAAATGACGAAATTATATGGTGCTCAAACAACGTTGCAAGGTCACATAGATCGTCAGAACATTGAAAGAAAATATGCGCAGCTCCAGGATTATTTTCTTGAAAATCTAAAAGATTCTGTAGAAAAGCTAAATGATATATTCAAACAAGAAAAACTCGACAAAAGTGACGTAGATCGATTAAATGATTGCATAGGTATGTTAGACTCTGTTAAAAATACATACTCCCTTCAAGAACATATTCCGATTGAAAAAGTCCATGAAACATATGACGAATTACTATTAAAGATATGCGACTATTTTAATGAAACTGTTAAAAAAATCGATGTACAACTTGAGAAAGAAAATCCTTTTGAAAAATTAGAACAATCAATGAAACAAATAGATTTGATAAGAACAATTTCCATCATAGAATTGAAAACATCTCAATCCTATTTTAGTACATTGGAAAAAGTTTGTGGATATATAAGAGAATTAAAAAGAGATGTTGAAAATATATTCAAAGCATTCTTTCGAGACGAAGGACAAATTGATTACGTTAAACTCACAGAGCATTTGTCTAGACTAAAAAGTGTAGAATGGTTTAAGGAGTATCGACCTGACGTTTATTCAGAAGTAACAACAAATATTGAACAACAGATCATTCAGCATGTTGAAAAATTGTCACAATCTGCTATGTTGATTAATTTAGATCTTGACAATTACAATAAACTTCAGTACGTCTATAAAATTGTATCTGAAATCAATGCAATAAGACCGATAGAGCAAATAATTGAGCATATAGGTCAACGCATAGATGAAGTGAATACTTGGTTCGACAAAATGACTAATATTGTATTTGCCATGATCTATGATATTTTTAGTTTAGAGAACTATAAACAACAAGACTACCCAACTTATGACATTAACAAGCTTGAAAAAGCGTTTTATTATTTGGACGCTTGTAAAAAAATTCCTATGTTATCCAAAAGTGATTTAGTCTTAAATGATTTGAAAGAGTTTGTAAGACAGTTTTATTTTCACATTCAAACAGAAATGGAAAACTATTTTGAAAGTATCAAACAATATCCAAATGAAAGTAAGGAAATTACATTGAAAAAAGCACGACTACTATCAAATCGTCTACAAGAATTAGATGAATTAAAGACCCAACATAGTCGTATATTTTCTTGTTTATCGAATAAAAAAGTAATTGATAAATGGAAAAGAGATTTAACTGATTATAAATTTGAATTGTCAGATGAAATGGAAAAGCTTCGTATTACACAACGGGCAGATGTGTTAACTAATAAACTGTTCATTACGAAAACATTAAGCAAATTAGAAGAATTTTCGGAAGGTGAAAAATATATCGATATCTACTACAAGTATCAAAACATTTTCTTCATACAGAATACTGATGTGTGTAAGAACGTAATAGATGCGATTAAAGCTGATGATTATGAACGAGTCGCTACTGAAATGATATCATTACAATCATCAAATGAAGTTGGACAACATTTTTATAAACAAGCTAGACAAGCACTTAACTATGGTTTAAAAAATTTGATTGACACAACGATAAATTTAGCGATTACACTAGGAAATGAGATAGAAATTAAAGATATAAGATTCATAGTAGATTATCTGAAACGAATGGAAACAGCAAAACAATTTATATCTACCCACCTTGACGAACCGATCTTAATTCAAATTGATGAAACCTTAAAAGAAGTCGAAAGGTTAATTGAGGAAAAAATGAAAGTTTTCTTAGAAAGGGTAAATGCCAATTTCAATGCGAACAATTTTTATGAAGCAGATAAAAAAGTAGAATTGATAGCGGTCGTACGTACTCTGCTAGGAAAATATTGTACCTCAAATATTTCTAGAGAAATCGATACATTGCGAGAAACACAAAGAAAAGTTGTGTTAGAAGATTCAGTTAAAAAATATTCAGAATTGAATATTTCTGATTATCCTTGGAATCCACCAACCGACATTTTTGAGAAATTCGACGAAGTTAAAGATACAAATCCGATATATGAACAAGCTTTAAAAAGTATACAAAAGGTAATTGTCGATAAATTCAGAGAAGAACTAAAACTAGCGACATTAGAAAAACCACCAAACCCAGATAACCAACACATAAGAAATTTCGAGTTAGCGGTCAAGTATTTACCAGAAAAAGTGAAAAGTGCACTTGAAATAGAATTAAAGCACTGTAAAGAAAATATTCATCGAATCATTCTAAATATTGAAGATGATTTAAAATATACAATTAGTAGTGGAAATTTGAGCAAAATTAAAAATATTATTCAAGAATATCAAAATTCACAAGGCATGATGTCGTATGCTAATAAGGGTCAAGAACTTGCACGTAAACAATTTCAGGAGATTAAGTTGAAAATAAATGAAAATATTCAAAAAAATTATATCAGAGAAACATTAGAGTATGTAAAACAACTTTATGACAGCGATATCGAATTGGGAGGAATTGTCGTTGAAATTAAAAAACTATGTTCAGAAGTAAGATCTTTATTAAAAACAACATTTCAAGAAGCATACAATTATTTTATGAATAAATTTTTCGACATGAAAACATCAACAATGACAAACAATATAACTAGCGAAATGAGGAAGGTTTTCAGTTGTTTAATCGAATTTATGAAGTTCAGAGATGAATTCGAAAACAAGCCGATTTTGAACTACATGTTTCCAGAAGATTTCAACAAAAACCTTCTCAAGTTGGAAGACAAATTTATAGATCACCTTAGGATGTTCCAGAAAAATTTCAAAAATTCTTTGAAAGAAAGAAATATTATCGCACTTATGCACGCTCTCGATACTATGAAAAAATGGGATTCATTTTTTGAAAACATACAAGATTATGCAAATATGAGTGATGATAAGTGGTTGTCAGTGAATAATATTATGATGGCTATACAAGACATTATATCGTATTCCCAGATGAGGGAGAGTATTTCGAATAAGATTAACGAATTAGTTAATGAACTCAAGAATGAAAATTTTATCAACGACGAGACAAAAGAATTTAGCAAACGTCGAGATGAATTTTATAGGAAATTAAATGAAAAATTTTCCATTCTAAACAACATTAAGATACATTCTGAGCATATGCTCAATATTGATATCAGTAAACTTCAACAAGAATGTCTGGATTCATTAGACAAAAAAGTCGCAGAAATGTGCTCTGCTGCTGAAAAATTAGTGGAAAAAATTTCAACAATATTCATATTGAAAAGACAGGACTACGACATGTTTAGTTTATACTATAGTAATTTAGTTACATTTAAAAAAGAAGTGAAAGTAAAACACGATAGGATTTATGAAAACATTGATAAAGTTGAAAAAGCATTTTATGAAATAATTGAAAGTTGGGAAACTTCTGCTGTGCAGGAGAAAAAAATTGAAAAAATTAGTCGAGTCTTGATAAACATGAAGCATATTGCAAATAATATTCCTTCATGTCAGAATAGAATAAATAAAGAAATAGATAATCTACTTTATCAATATAAAATGGTAACAAATGATGCCAAAGTTTTTGCAAAAATTGGTACAATTTTATTTCAAGACAAAAGTGGCGTAGGTCATAGTATTATTGCTGAGCATAAACCATTTCAAGGTTTCTCGCTGAGCCTATTCAATGAAAAAACTAGAAAACATGGTATAGAGTATGTGTTAGAACATATTAGAGGTGAAAATATTGACAAAGAATTATTAAAGAAAAGATTCAATGAATTTGATGAAATCTATCATGATTTGATCAAAAAATATCTGAAGCCAGGCTTAGAATTAAGTGAACTCATTTATAACACTAAACTAATTGTCGGAAATGTCAAACAATCACCAAACAAGGTTCAGTGGGATAAAATTATAAGAAGCAAAATTCCAAAGTTAATGGCACATATTTTTGCCTTGTGGACATTAAACAATGCTAACCATTTTTTTGAAGCAGAGGACTCTTCAGATAAGACAAATTATCTTCTTCAGCCACATGCCGCCCAAGTAATCTCTATATTTCGTATGCTTGGTATTGGTGATGAGAAAGAAGAATTGAAAAATAATTTGGTACAGATAGGAACTGGTGAGGGCAAATCCATAACATTAGGGGTCACGGCTGCTGTACTTGCACTGCTTGACTTTGATGTATACTCTGCATGCTACAGTGAATACTTGAGTCAGAGAGACTACAATGCATTTCAATGGTTATTCGATTCATTGGGTTTGCTGAGTCATATTCATTACGGTACTTTCAAACAACTCTGTGAGAATATAATTAATGAAAATGGTCAAATACGTGAATTAGTAGAACAGATGATTTCAACAAATACGAGCGTTTTTACGCAAAATAGTCATCCGATTAAACGTGCAAAAATATTGTTGATTGATGAAGTTGACGTTTTTTTCAGTCGCGAATTTTACGGCAATCTTTACACACCATCAGCCAGTTTACGAGATCCTACCATAATAGCCTTAGCTAATTATATTTGGGAAAATAGAAAATTAAAATTAACCTTAAATAAAGTAAAAGCTACGAGTGAATATCAAACTTGTTGTCAAAAGTTTCAAAATTGGGAACTATTAATTTCAGAAGCTGTCAAAGATATGCTTTACGATGTGAATAACTTTGAATCTCATGACTATCATGTTGCACAAGATAAAATTGGCTATATTGAACAGGATAATGTTGTCTTTAATGTTGTTTATAGGTATAAAACTTTATTTGCATATTATTTAGAGAATGAAAAAGGTAAAATAAGTAGAAAAAGTTTAGAAGAAAATGTGAGCATCTATATAAAATGTGGTAGCTTTTCATATGCTGAAATACCACTTCAATTCATGTATATTATGGGTGTAACAGGAACGTTAGAAACTTTAAGTGGCCCTGAAAAGGATGTAATAAAAAATGTGTATAAAATTGTTAAGGATACATATTCTCCGTCAGTGTTTGGTAAAAATAATCTGAAATTTACAGAGAAATATGATATCATGATTGAGACAAGTGATGATTATTTTAATACTATTAAGAGAGAAATTGATGTGAGACTAGTTGGAAAAGCTGGTAAACGTGCGGTTTTGATTTTTTTTGACTCAGAAAAAACATTGAAAGAATTCTATGAGTCGCCAGCATTGTCATCCATTAAAGAATCAGTTGCTAAATTAACGGAGGAAGCATCGTCAGAAGAAAAAGAGATCTTAATAAAACGTGCAACAGTACCTGGTCAAATAACTTTACTGACGAGAATATTTGGGAGAGGAACTGATTTCATATGTTATGATGAATCTGTCGTCATGAATGGTGGTACTCATGTTATTCAAACATTTCTTTCAGAAGAATCGTCAGAAGAAGTGCAAATAAAAGGTAGAACAGCGAGACAAGGTGATTTTGGATCTTACAGTATGGTGCTTCTTGATGCCGACCTAGAGAAATTTCATATTACAAAAGAGATCATTGAAGATGTGAAACGAGGTAAACATATTCTAGTTAAAGTATGGAATGCTTTTAATCAACAGAAAACAATAGATACCATATATGAACTTCTGGATACAATGCGTATCGAGTTATTCAAAACACAGTATGAGACTAATAGAAAGCATGTTGAACATGCAAAAGAAAAACATCAGGTTGCCCAGAAATTTTTATCTAATCTTTATTCTGGAGACATTAATTCTGTTCGAGAATTTTTAGTTGAAGAAAATAAAGGAGCTGATCTGAATTCAGAATCGCGAACTGTTTGTCTAATGGATGCAACTGGTTCAATGGTTCATTTATTGAATAGTTGTAAAAACACCGTGAGCACTATGTTTGAGCGTGCTTCTGAAATTTTAAAAACTAATAACATCAGTTCGGAATCATTTCAAATTCAGTTCGTTGTATATCGAAACTACAATAGCGAAGAAGATAAAATTCTGCAAGCATCTCCTTGGGAAAAAAAATCAGATAATTTACGAAAGTTCATGAATAATATTGATATCGAAGGTGGTTGGGGCAACGAAGCCATTGAGATTGGTTTATGGTACGCAAATAAAGAATACGAGCGAGAACCAATCACACAAGTCATTTTGATAGGTGATGCACCTCCAAATACGAAAACCGAGGTGCAATCGAAGAGAAACCATTTCGGAGAAAATTACTGGAAAAATACGAAATTTGCAAATGCCACTTACTACGAAGATGAATTAGCAAAATTGATACTGAAAAATATTCCAGTTCACGGATTTTTTGTCGACGCAAGAGCAGAAAAAAGCTTCAAAGAGATTGCTACCAAATCACGAGGACGTTCCGAAAAGTTAGATATAAATTCTCCCGCAGGCTCGCAAATGTTAACAGATTTGGTGACTGAAGAGATCTTGAGGAATGTTGGGGGAGCTCGAAATGGAGATGCTCTTGTTGAAGCATACCGATCTAAATTTGGAAAAAGCTATAAGAATTAAATGTTTTTTTTTTACAAAGACATAAGATTGTCAAAAATTAACTGAGAGATATTTGTTTGTAGAACTGAAATTGTTTAAACACAGTAAAAAAAAGTACATATTATCTGAAATTTGAAGTGCTTTACAACGTTAATGGAAGATAGAGTTCACTAAAAATATTTCTTCCTTTCCCTTAAAGTTATGCCCTCTTACTGCCTTTTTTCATGTGTCTAATTGTTTTTTTTTGTCGAACATATTTGAAACTATGTTTTAACCTTTCTATGTATGTTAATGCTTGATATTTTTAATGTCATGTTCATCTTTACTTTCTAGTTCAACTTGTTACAGATGAGATAATAGACACACGCATGTACTTTTTACAATCTAATTATTTTCAGAATTTTGATACCACTTTTCGTTCATTACTTGTACTTATGTTCTGTGAAAGGATATGTGCATGAGATGTGGGTGCTTGAATTAAGGTAAGTTGAATTCACACTCACATCCGCCACCGTAGTGGCACCCACACCTGCAAAAAATTCAGAAGATGGAAAAGCTTTTATTCGTTAACAAGAGAGACTTGTTACTTGCGTTTTTGCATACTTTTCCATTGATCTGACTTTTAATTTTAAGTTTTATGTAGCAGAATTTGAAACATATGCAAGAAATATTGGAACATATAGAACAGCAATCGAACAGATATATTTTGACGAGATACAAGAAATAAAGTAAAGATCCAAGATATCATAAAAATAAATCTATGTCTACTTTCAGTACTAATCAAAAATAACCTGAAAGAATATTTATGTATACTGAAAGTAATCTATATTATTGTGAAAGACATGTAAATAGATTTTATTCAATTTCTTTAATAGTATTTGCTTAAATTTAGCTTGATTATTTTATGACTGATTCACCAAATTAACAAGCAAGTAAAATAGCATCAAAAATCAATATTGTTCGCAAATTATGATTGATAAAAACAGCCGAGTCTAACTCTTAATTAAAATAGATTCTTTTCAACAATGAGTGTGGATGTGGGGTGTGACTGTGAGTGTCTCTTTCATCATGCTCGTGCTTACAGCCACACCCAAGAGCAACTTGAATTGATTAAAAAAGCAATCCTTCATAGTGGCATGCAACATCTTGAATATCAACTCAAAGCAAGAATGTGAACAGTTATTTGATTTCATCTCGATCAATAAGCTAAACAAAAGAAGTTAGTCCGTATAACTGCGCAGTGTTGAATGATTGTTATGGTATGTTAGGCACACATAATTGACTCGGATGATCAGCAATACTTCCCAATGTTTGTCAATGTGGTATATTGGTTAATATTTCATCAGTTCTATCTGTCGTGTTTTCTGTCAAGTAACCAAGAAAACTGCACAGTGATAAGCGCTAGTTCTTCATAGTTTAGTTTACTGTTTTTTTTGTATGCCACTCAAGTGCGACTGCATATATTTGCAGTTAATTCTTTACCAGTTTTACGAAATTTTGAACCGGTTAGTAAATAGATGAAAAATCCAAATGTATTTTTGAAAAATGTACATGCAGCGCCAAAGGAAAGTAATATGTTTGTATGTCCTATGGCTTTGCATGTAAGAGGTGGACGATAATTAATGTAAATTTGAAAGAATAATGTTGGAAATATTGTTAGAGGAAATAACACGTCCAAAAGTATTAAGGTTAATGTAATAGATCGCATTTGATCAATTTGACATATTTTGTTTGGAGAATAGCCAGCGGATACCATTGATTCAGCTGATGATGAACGATTTTTTTTCTTATCATTACCAAATAAAACACCATCTCTTGTGTCATAAAGATTTTTTACAATAGTGATACAACATATGGTCATAATTAGACATGGTATAATACCGAAAATCAAACCATTGTAGATTGGCCAGATTTTTTCCAAAAATAACGATAGGATGTACTTATTGTTGTACAGTGACATAACCTTCCATCTGTTAAACATAATGTTTTTGATGGAACTTTAGTAATTATTGGTCGATTGTAGAATAATAAAAAATGTAAATTAAGAATGCATGATATTATAGCAATAAGACAACAAATGATAAAAGCCATTTTTAATTGACAAAATGAGCGTTTATGTTTAGACTCTCTTAGGAAAAGAGCTCGATCAACGTTAATAAACACTAGAAGCCATGCGAAAATATATCGAAAAAAATAAGTGAAAAAAAAACTGAAACGACATAAATTTGGTAATAGTTTCTCAACAAGATAGGTGCTATCGAGATAATATGGGAGTAAATTGTGAATTGGAACATCAATTAACAAAATAAATATATTAATAATGCACAATAGACTCATATAGCAATAGACAGAGAAATCTTTGACCCATTGTTTGAATATAAAAAATGATATCAAATTTGTGGGTATGCCGATGATGACAAACGATACTGACCATATACGATAAACATTGTGTGCAACTTCTGTCAATTCATTGTAATAATGAAAATCTTTGTCAGTAGTATTGGCCATGGTCACATAGTACGCTGTTTTAAGTTTATTCATATAAATGACAACTTTCTCACAATACATTTCATTTTATTGCTAGTATTATAACAATCAAACTCATGAAGCAAATATTAAATGATTTATTTATGATCATGAGCAAAAACAAAGTCAATACGCACTTAAGCCTAACAATGATTCTAGTTATTTATAGCTATTTTCACTCCCTCGTCGAAACAAATACTGGTAAGACGTAATCTTTCTATTTGTTTCTTTTCTTTTCTCGTCACAGTAGTTCACATATAAGTGGACACGTGTGTGAACACGTGACGAAGTTTTCGTAATTTATATAATTTATACAATAAATAAGTATCATTTAACATTACAATATGTCAAACAAGAATGTAGCACCAAATGGTACTTATTTGCCCGATAAACTATTAGTGAAAGATTGTCGTGATGTAGAATTAACATATTTAAAAAAGATTAACAATGAATATTCGTCAATGTTATCCCCTTGTGTAAGTGAACAAGGTGAAAAAAGGGGTAGGACATCAAGTGATAATGAATATGATCTTCAATTTAATGGTCATGAAACACCAAAAAGAACAAGATCAGTTCAACGAAAACCACGTACAATTACCAATTCTTCTTATTTAACGACAGCTATAACCACAACCAATAAAAATTTTTCTCATCGGAGAGTGGACGATGTTAACAACCAGTTACTTAATAAACAGAAAGATACAATGGCTAATTCTGAAGGGAATTATAATAATAAATTTAAGATTACAAATGATGCGGTTTCATATTCAGTTGATCAATTTCTTCCACCTATTAAAATTATATGCGACCCAAAAGTAAATGAACATAAAGACGGTGCGAAGATTATCAAGGAATTATTCAAAGTCATTGTTGATGATTTTAAACAAGTTAATCCGAAACACAATGAAGTTATTGGATTTGAATCGTGGTATATTGACATTAACGGAAATTTACAATGTATTACTCGTGATGTCGAATTATTTATCTATTTATGTGATGTTAAACATATTCCTAATATGATATTGGATACAAAAATAACGGTGGTTTTACCAAAACATTTACCTAGCCAACGTTCTGTTATTATTAAAGGTGTACCTATCACATTTAGTACTGATGATGTTAAAAATGAAATTATGAATAAATATAAATCAGTGTATTCAATTATTGAATTAATAGGTACAAATAATGGTAAAACACGTTATCTACGACTGGATTTAACTGATACGAATGAATATAAACAATTACTTAATTCTGGATTAATATGTATTGATGGTCAATGCTTACATGTCTTTGAATATCTTGCAGCACCTCGTGTTCTTTTCTGCTCAATGTGTAACCTTCCTGGTCACAGCAGAAAGTATTGTAATTTTACATTTGATCGTTGTAGGAGATGTGGTGAAGATAGGAAAAATGGAGATCATAAAAACTGTACCATTAGTTGTCATAATTGTAAGGAGGAACATGTTTCCACTGATTTTAGATGTCAAACTGTTCAAAATTACCGTCGTGATCTTATACATTATCTAAAGCAGCATCCCGAAAGATTGCCCATGGATACACATTTTTTTATTCCTTCTCAATATCGTTCATATGGTGAAAGTGTTTTGTATAATAGACGTTCATATCCACAATTGATGACTATGCCACCTAATAAGAACAACCAGCTCACGAACGATGAGTGGCCTTCTTTACCACCTCCTGCACGTTCCACAATCAATTATTCTAACTTCACAAGATCATCTTCATCAGATCCTATTAAAAATTTACAAATACAACTAAATCATTTAGATAAATGCTGTTCTATTGATAAAAAAAAATATGAAAAGATAAATATGGAAATAAAATCACAACTTAATGAAAGTTTAGCACAACTAAAATCATTAAATATCTGCTTTTCTACCATCATCCAACGTCAAAATGAAACTATTATTATGCTTAAAGATACTATTAATGAATGTTTAGAAATTAATAAATACACCATCCAAGCTGTATGTTTAATGATGACAAAATCAAGTGATCAACAATATGAAGGGATCATACAACAAATATCTAATATTCCAATTGCTGAACGTCAGTCTACAATAGATAAAATATTCTCAACTTATACACCTCTTATTGATGAACTTACGTCGAAGATTGTGGCAATTACAAAACAAATGCAAGTATTAAATGACTAGTCAAGTTTTTCGCTACTCTCTGCCCTATATCAATGACGACACTATTCATTCATTTGGCGGATCACAAAATGAGAAGTTAGAACTGCAAGAAATATTCCAGGAATGGAACTTGAGATCATGTATGTCAGATTTATTTAAAAAGTGGAGAAAAACCAGACCTAGTATTTCTGAGCAAAATCTTCTTTTTCTATTGTATAACGTGAATTCCTTAAATAATCATATTGCTGATATTGATGTACTTGTTAATAACCACTCCCCTCAGATATGTATTCTTACTGAAATTGGAAAAGCTGTAATGAAGAAAATTCCTCAATTTCCTGACTATAATATTATACTTCAAGAAGGAACGAATGCCTTTGGAGGTGTTGCTTTTTTGATACATAAATCGATTAAATATAAAATAGTAACCAGGGAATTGAATTTTCTCCTAATAGAAATTGAAACAATACCTGAACCAACTTGCGTTGGTGCTGTATATGTACCTCCTGGTTCAACCCCTCCATTCCAATTTTTTACGAAGTGTAGTAATAAAGCTTTTTGTATCTTTGGAGACTTCAATGCTAAGCACACCGACTGGGGATGTGAAGGAAATAATGGTAGTGGAAATCAGATCGTTTCATGGTTGGAATTAACAGGAAATGAAATGATTATACCTGATAAACCAACCTCGCGGAGGTCCAAATCTATAATCGATTTCGGATTAACGCATGATGCCACTGGCTGGCACACTGAAGTGATTGAAGATGGTACTTCTGATCACCTTCCTATATTATTACAATCCCCTCTTTGTGTCCCTTTATCAGCAGTATTTAAAAAAACCAATTGGAAGATTTTTATATTCTTTCTTAAAACTGTGTATGAATATTGGTTATCTCTTGTATACAACTATGACGAACAATTCTTTTTTATTCAGTTTTCTGAATTTCTAGCAAGTCTTTGGGATAGATGTAGTACTTACGAATCTGCAAGGCGATATCGACCACCATGGCCACCACACCTAGTTGCTCTTGCTCGTGAAGTAAATAGAAGAAGACGTATATATAGACGTAATAAAACTGAAATTAACCTGTACCTGTTTCTACAGGTAAAAGCTCTATTTATTGACGAACGATCTCAATTAACTCAACAGAAGTATGAATCTAAACGTGAATGGATATTGAAGGACCAGAACATTTGGAATTTTGTTCGTCCTACATTCCACTCGCTCTCTTCCCCATTTCGTGGATTAACTGTTAACTCAGGTATTATGAAAAATCCTAAGGATATAGTTGACACATTAGCTAATCATTATGAACGACATTTCGCAGAACCTACACCTGATATGAACAACGTAATACAACAAAAATATATATCTATTTATGATAAAATCGCTCTTTTGCCCAATATTCCATTAGATCCAATACCAATAAATGAAGTAATTAAGGAGTGGAGAAAAATGTCCTCGAAAAAATCTACGGATAGTGTTGGTACATCAGCTTTCCTATTGAAAAAACTTCCTGAACAATATTTGAACATAATGACAGTATTGTTCAATAAGTGCTCTGATAAAGGTGATTTTTTTTTGGCTGCAAAACATGCCAAATTAATATGCATCCCTAAAGAAGGTATTTATCCGGCCACTAATAGGCTAAGACCTATATCATTACTACCAAATATTGGAAAATGTTTTGAACGAATAGTTCACAACCGTATACTATCGTGGTGCAAGAATAATAATATATACATTGAAGAGCAATCTGGTTTCTCTCCTGGTCGGAGGTTACAGACAAGGATAATTTCCATTATTGAAGAATTAAGGATGACTGTTGCAGCGAACAATCGACCGGCGTTAGTAATATTCGTAGACTTTTTATCCGCTTTTGATAGAATGTGGGCACAGGCTCTTATTGCTAATTTATATGAATTAGATATGCATTTACCGCTTTTAAAGTGGATATTCAACTGGTTAAAGGATAGAACATTTTGCATCCACTATCGGGATGAAAAATCTCGTACTGTCCAAATGAGAATAGGAGCACCCCAAGGCTCTGTTATTGCTGCAACTCTATTTCGACTTCATATTCACTGTCTTCCCTTGTACTTTAAAAATGTTGAACTTCACCTTTTTGCGGATGATCTCGCTCTTGTTCTATCGGGTTCACTGGAAAAGAGGTTCACTGAAAATGTTAAAGAACTTGAAGACATTGCAGCTGTAGTCCTGAAACAGCTCGAAAAATTTGCAGAAGACCTAATTCTACCAGTAAATATTTCTAAAACAAAAGCCCTTCTTGTCCACAGTATTGTATCCCCTTCATACCCCCGTCTATACTATAAATCACACACCATCGAATATGTTAAAAGATTTAAATATTTAGGAGTGTATATTTCCACAAAATTAGGATGGGATACATACATTAATGAGCGTCTGCGAACCATAAGAAAAATCTATAACGGTATGAAAATAGCATTTAAAACGATTAAGATGCGAGATATCAAAATACGCCGAAGAATTTTCCTTTCATATGCTCTTCCACATTACTTATGGTTATTTTNTAATCCGAAACACAATGAAGTTATTGGATTTGAATCGTGGTATATTGACATTAACGGAAATTTACAATGTATTACTCGTGATGTCAAATTATTTATCTATTTATGTGATGTTAAACATATTCCTAATATGATATTGGATACAAAAATAACGGTGGTTTTACCAAAACATTTACCTAGCCAACGTTCTGTTATTATTAAAGGTGTACCTATCACATTTAGTATTGATGATGTTAAAAATGAAATTATGAATAAATATAAATCAATGTATTCAATTATTGAATTAATAGGTACAAATAATGGTAAAACACGTTATCTACGACTTGATCTAACTGATACGAATGAATATAAACAATTACTTAATTCTGGATTAATATATATTGATGGTCAATGTTTACATGTCTTTGAATATCTTGCAGCACCTCGTGTTCTTTTCTGCTCAATGTGTAACCTTCCTGGTCATAACAGAAAGTATTGTAATTTTACATTTGATCGTTGTAGGAGATGTGGTAAAGATAGGAAAAATAGAGACCATAAAAACTGTGCCATTAGTTGTCATAATTGTAAGGGAGAACATGTTTCCACTAATTTTAGATGTCAAACTGTTCAAAATTACCGTCGTGATCTTATACATTATCTGAAGCAGCATCCCGAAAGATTGCCTATGGATACACATTTTTTTATTCCTTCTCAATATCGTTCATATGGTGAAAGTGTTTTGTATAATAGACGTTCATATCCTCAACTGATGACTATGCCACCTAATAGGAACTACCAGCTCACCAACGATGAGTGGCCTTCTTTACCACCTCCTGCACGTTCCACCATCAATTATTCTAACTTCACAAGATCATCTTCATCAGATCCTATTAAAAATTTACAAATACAACTAAATCATTTAGATAAATGCTGTTCTATTGATGAAAAAAAATATGAAAAGATAAATATGGAAATAAAATCATAACTTAATGAAAGTTTAGCACAACTAAAATCATTAAATATTTGCTTTTCCACCATCATCCAACGTCAAAATGAAACTATTATTATGCTTAAAGATACTACTAATGAATGTTTAGAAATTAATAAATACACCATCCAAGCTGTATGTTTAATGATGACAAAATCAAGTGATCAACAATATGAAGGAATCATACAACAAATATCTAATATTCCAATTGTTGAACGTCAGTCTACAATAGATAAAATTTTCTCAACTTATACACCTCTTATTGATGAACTTACGTCGAAGATTGTGGCAATTACAAAACAAATGCAAGTATTAAATGACTAGTCAAGTTTTTCGCTACTCTCTGCCCTATATCAATGACGACACTATTCATTCATTTGTCGGATCACAAAAGGAGAAGTTAGAACTGCAACAAATATTCCGGGAATGGAATTTGAGATCATGTACGTCAGATTTATTTAAAAAGTGGAGAAAAACCAGACCTAGTATTTCCGAGCAAAATCTTCTTTTTCTATTGTATAACGTGAATTCTTTAAATAATCATATTGCTGATATTGATGTACTTGTTAATAACCATTCCCTCAGATATGTATTCTTACTGAAATTGGAAAAGCTGTAATGAAGAAAATTCCTCATTTTCCTGACTATAATACTATACTTCAAGAAGGAACGAATGCCTTTGGACGTGTTGCTTTTTGATACATAAATCGATTAAATATAAAATAGTAACTAGGGAATTGAATTTTCTCCTAATAGAAATTGAAACAATACCTGAACCAACTAGCGTTGGTGCTGTATATGTACCTCCTGATTCAACCCCTCCATTCCAATTTTTTACGAAATGTAGTAATAAACCTTTTTATATCTTTGGAGACTTCAATGCTAAGCACACCGACTGGGGATGTGAAGGAAATAATGGTAGTGGAAATCAGATTGTTTCATGGTTGGAATTAACAGGAAATGAAATGATTATACCTGATAAACCAACCTCGCGAAGGTCCAAATCTATAATCGATTTCGGATTAACGCATGATGTCCCTGGCTGGCACACTGAAGTGATTGAAGATGGTACTTCCGATCACCTTCCTATATTATTACAATCCCCTCTTTGTGTCCCTTTAACAGCAGTTTTTAAAAAAACCAATTGGAAGATTTTTATATTCTTTCTTAATACTGTGTATGAATATTGGTTATCTCTTGTATAGAACTATGACGAACAATTCTTTTTTATTCAGTTTTCTGAATTTCTAGCAAGTCTTTGGGGTAGATGTAGTACTTATGAATCTGCAAGGCAATATCGACCACCATGGCCACCACATCTAGTTGTTCTTGCTCGTGAAGTAAATAGAAGAAGACGTATATATAGACGTAATAAAACTGAAATTAACCTGTACTTGTTTCTACAGGTAAAAGCTCTATTTATTGACGAACGATCTCAATTAACCCAACAGAAATATGAATCTAAACGTAAATGGATATTGAAGGACCAGAATATTTGGAATTTTGTTCGTCCTACATTCCACTCGTTCTCTCCCCCATTTCGTGGATTAACTGTTAACTCAGTTATTATGAAAAATCCTAAGGATATAGTTGATACATTAGCTAATCATTATGAACGACATTTCGCAGAGCCTACACCTGATATGAACAACGTAATACAACAAAAATATATATCTATTTATGATAAAATTGCTCTTCTGTCCAATATTCCATTAGATCCAATACCAATAAATGAAGTAATTAAGGAGTGGAGAAAAATGTCCTTGAAAAAGTCTACGGATAGTGTTGGTACATCAGCTTTCCTATTGAAAAAAACTTCCTGAACAATATTTGAACATAATGACAGTATTGTTCAATAAGTGCTCTGATAAAGGTGATTTTTTTTTGGTTGCAAAACATGCCAAATTAATATGCATCCCTAAAGAAGGTATTTATCCGGCCACTAATAGGCTAAGACCTATATCATTACTCCCAAATATTGGAAAATGTTTTGAACGAATAGTTCACAACCGCATATTATCGTGGTGCAAGAATAATAATATATACATTGAAGAGCAATCTGGTTTCTCTCCTGGTCGGCGGTTACAGACAAGGATAATTTCCATTATTGAAGAATTAAGGATGACTGTTGCAGTGAACAATCGACCGGCGTTAGTAATATTCATAGACTTTTTATCCGCTTTTGATAGAATGTGGGCACAGACTCTTATTGCTAATTTATACGAATTGGATATGCCTTTACCGCTTTTAAAGTGGATATTCAACTGGTTAAAGGATAGAACCTTCTGCATCCACTATCGGGATGAAAAATCTCGTACTGTCCAAATGAGAATAGGAGCACCCCAAGGCTCTGTTATTGCTGCGACTCTATTTCGACTTCATATTCACTGTCTTCCCTTGTATTTTAAAAATGTTGAACTTCACCTTTTTGCGGATGATCTTGCTCTTGTTCTATCGGGTTCACTTGAAAATAGGTTCACTGAAAATGTTAAAGAACTTGAAGACATTGCAGCTGTAGTCCTGAAACAGCTCGAAAATTTTGCAGAAGACCTAATTCTACCAGTAAATATTTCTAAAACAAAAGCTCTTCTTGTCCACAGTATTGTATCCCCTTCATACCCCCGTCTATACTATAAATCACACACCATTGAATATGTTAAAAGATTTAAATATTTAGGAGTGTATATTTCCACAAAATTAGGATGGGATACATACATTAATGAGCGTCTGCGTACCATAAGTAAAATCTATAACGGTATGAAAATAGCATTTAAAACGATTAAGATGCGAGATATCAAAATACGCCGAAGAATTCTCCTTTCATATGCTCTTCCACATTACTTATGGTTATTTCCACTTGGTTCTTCTATACTGATATACAAAGAGAACGTATTGAACATATGTTTTGTCAAGGACTTCGAATTGTATATAATCTATATCAGTGGGATGATATAACAACTTTAATTCTTGCTNGGTTGAGGACGCGCACTTTTATATCATTTTCGTCTACCAATTTTTTCGGCTCAAATATTTTTCCAAAATTTTTTCACAATGCTATTGCTTTCTTTGCCGCATGTCTTTGTCTGAGCTCGGTGAGTAAATCTGTATAAATATGATTTTAGAGATATATAATATTTGGGCCGGTATTCTCCTTCTAACACTACACTAGACGCAATGTTAGAGTTCAAAATACAGAATTTTGTAGAGAAATAACAACTCTATTAAATGTATTGTGAACTGATTCCTTAGACATTTTCCTTTCGTCCTTACCATGGCATTTACTATGGCCAGGTACGATTAATGCTCGATAACATTATTTTTACTTGTTCTCAGTTATTGGAAACCCTTTTCCAAAAAGAAATTTACAGAAAGATAGCCTATTCAATGCTCTATAAAACCCATATTGAACAACCTCAAATATCGAAAATTTTCTTAAACGGCGGCATCCTTTCTAAGTTCATCGTTTTTAACAAAAAGCTTTAAAACAATCGTATTTTTCATAGGAAACCTTTTTGTAAAAAGGTTTCTTTTTTCTACAAAAATCAATTTTTTCAGAAAAAAATTCATGTGGAAAAACCGAGTGCTGATTTTCAAGAAGCTTGTTGCTAATTCAGAATCTTCGATCGCAGTTTACTTTCGTCAACCTTTATAGTAAAAGATCTTTATTTCTTCAAAAATCCCTTTCCTTAATGGAAAAATGGAATATTGAATTTTCGAAAAACTGATGTAACAGAAAGCGCTAAAAATCGACTGGTTCACCGGTACCACCGGTTCACTGTCACTGTTGCATCCCTTGCGAAAATCGAAGAAATCGCATACACTCTAACGACCAGTTGTCGTGACAACCTGGAGTTGGAATTGCTCTTTTTTAAGGGCTTTTCACTATTGTGCTAAAATTCTAAGGATTTCTCTGACTATTAAAAGTGTTTCTTCTTCTTTTTCATAACGATAGCTGTTCTATTGGAGGGAACATGAGTGGGAATGTGGGTATCTGAAACCGACACCTAGCCTTTCCTCTTCCCTTCCATCCGTTACAGACCTTAGCAACCATGATTAAATAATGGATATATGTAAGTTTTATCTACCATTTAATGCGATACTTATAATAATAAAAATATTAACAATGAAAAAATTCTTAATATTTTACTATCTGTATTTTGTATTAGTATATTAAAGCAGAAAAACATACGTGAATTCAGCACGTCAGTTCCCGAGAGCTACGCTAACAAGCTGTTTTTTTAACGTTCATTTCTGCACCTGTAGAACATAATACAAACTGCACCGATTAGTTGTATGTATGATATAAGAAAAAGTTATGCTATTTTAAATAATAAAAAAATAATGGTAAACCAATCACTTTGTTAATTTCATATCCTTCTTTTTGAATTATTTCTCGACTGATCTTCCCTCATCAGTTTAATGAATAATTTTTCTTCTTCTCCTTTTTCTTTTTTTCTTAAAATATTCTCATGATTATATGCTAACACCTTCGTGAACTATTCATAAGAACAACGGAACAATGACTTATACACTTTCTTCGTTTCATTAAGGCCTCTAATCATTTATAACAACAAATTGAAAAGAATATCGACAATAGTACTTGTGATATTAGGAAACAAATGTTTGACATTTTTATTTATTTATGCATAATATCGATGGTGTCTGATTGAGCATTTAACATTTTTATTATAGATATATAAATTAATGATCATTTGTTTTCTTTTATTTTAAGAATTAATTTCTACTTTGTCAATTCTGAATAATGGAAACTAACGATGCAACTGACGCTTTATTTGAACACATTGATACAAATCAAGATGGAAAGTATGAATTAAGAATTTAAATCACATGATAAATACATATATACATGTTTAGTATTGATAAAAGTGAACTTCGTAATTGGTATTCAAATACTGACGGATTGAATCATTCATCATATGAATCAACAACTAGTGGACTTTATCGTAATGATAATAGAACTAGTCGATTTGATCGATATAACTATAATGCTAGTTCTTACGATGTTTCAGAACCTACGACTGATAAATATGTCTCATATGGAACTACAGTAGCAGCTCGTGAGTGGGCTAATGATGCGGCGATTAATACAAGTAGTGTAGAAGAAACGAATAAATATCTTCGAAAATCAACTACTGATCTTTTTCTCGATCCTAATCCCCAAATTATTCGACGAGCAACAATTGAAGGTCCAATAACACTAGAACAACGAATAGCTGTTCGATATCTTCAACCACCACCTTTGCCAGAACCAGGAGTAATGAAACAAATTGTTTACGAATTCAATCTTACTAATCGTTGTATGATTTTAGCCACTCATTATTAAAGAAGTGCGCCCGCGACAACCATCACCACTTCCACCACTTGTCATACGCGAACATGCACCACGTCCTCCTTCACCGCCTCCACTTATCTTACGTGAACGACCACCAACACCACCGGCATATGTTCCGAGTGAAACAAGTTAGAGCAAAAGAGATTTATATTGCATAGATCAGATTTATAATATATTTTATTTTACAGTTACTCGTAGCTTATCTCCTATACCTGTTCCACCACGATCAGTTGTCATCGAACGTTTTCCACCTCCTCCGGAAAAACCACGTAAAAGAATTATTTTCACTTTTCTTTTTGTTTTTTTTTATGCTAGATTTTTTTCTTTTTGCTACTTAGGTGATATTATAATTGAACGATGGGTTCCATATGGACCTCAACCTGAACGCCGTACAATTGTTGAACACGCTCCTCCTGCTATTGATTATCCACGACCATATCATAAGGTTATTCTTTATGAAACTGCTCAAACGCGTATAATTCGACGATTTGAAAAACTTGGTGTTACCCAAGAAAATCCTGACACTTATGTAGCTCGTTATGGATCATCACTTTTAGATCCAACAATGCTTACTCAAGAATCTCGACATGCTGGTGTTATTGAAGATATAGTAAAATCTTTTCAAAACAAAGTATCTTCAGTAAAATTTATATAAATTTTTAATTGTAGTCGCCTCCGGTACAATCATCTTCAATATACAGAAGTATACACGGAAATACTGTTGATTACAATCAATCAGAAGGAATAATCAAGAAAACTTTTACATCGTCAGGCGCAATTACTGATATTAAACGTGATGGATCGGCGTATAGAACAGGATTTCGACGATATACATAAAACATTATTTAACTGAAACTTTTCCTTTTCCTATTTAGAGACATTTAGTTTTTGTAGTTTTTACAACAGATCATATAAATTATATAATGAAAGATCAAGCCTTACTGATACCACTATCAGATGCATCATGTTTTCTTGTGTACCATATTGGTATTATTTTTAAATAAGCTCTTTGCATTGTATCATGCTATAAATTGGCAAAATATAATGATTTATTACTTGCAATGTGAATATATTAATCCATATAATGAGTTGTTGGATATGTTATTTGACGTAGGTTAATTTATCACCAGATTCCAGTATTTCTAGTCTGGACTCGTCCAGCAACTTATTCCAGATACAATGCGACGCGCTCTGTCCAACGGGTATGCTCAAGAGGGAATCGTTTCAAGTGATAAATCGGTTTTGAGTTCCGACTCTATATGTAAGGTAGATTCCATTGAGATATGAAAAACCTCTAAATGGCAAGTACTCTTAGGCTTTTCTACCAGGGTGATAGCCGTTTTACTGGAAGTACAACCAGTAGGATTATATACGTCAAAACATTGAATGATAGCTTTTCGAACTGAAGATTTGCTCACAGAGAAGTTCATTTATAACTAGAATATCTTGAACATTACAGTGCAAAATATTATTTCCTTCACCAGATATTAAGCTTCTAAAAAACAGGAGCTTTTCGCATCTTTTGTTGAATACGCATGATTTGGGTGCGGGTGTGCATGTGGATATCTTCTCTTCTTACACCTTCACGCACTGGTATACTCTAAACGAAGTGTAAATTATAAAACTTTGAATATTTGTCTGAAAAAATATATTTTCTGTGTTTTTTTTTATTTTTAACTATCTGTACGTAAATGAATAGCAGGTTGTGGAAGAGGAAGAAAACATCATGTTGATAAGTAACTGCTGGATCAAGAAAATAAACTTCAACTAAAGATTGTTGCATTGTATTCATTGATAGAAACGTTACTGTTTATGTATACGTGCAATTTTCTCAATAACCGGAAATAATTTAAATCAAGGATTTCTCTATCTTATTTACTTTAACAACCGCTTAGAACTAATAATAGTTTGAACTATAAGAACAGAAATCATTCCTCTTTCTGATCTGACGAGGGAACTCATACATAAGTTATCACATGTGGGAACATGTGACGTACTTATTTCAATTTTAATTTATATAATTTATATAATATACCAGTATTATCTAACTTTACAATATGTCAAACAAGTATATAAGATCAAATGGAACTTCTTTGACTAATAAACCGTTGGTGGGTGATCGTCGTGATGTTGAATTAACACATTTTAAAAAGGTAAACAATGAATATTCGTCAACGATATCCCTTGTGTAAGCGAACAAGGTGAGAAACGGGGTAGAACAGTTAGTGATAATGAATATGATCTACAATTTAATGGTCATGGAACTCCAAAAAGAACAAGATCAATTCGACGAAAACCACGTACAATTACCAACTCTTCTTATGTAACGACAACTACATCCAATAAGAATTTTTCTCATCAGAGAATGAACTAAAACTCTCCCCGTAATAGAAGCCCTCCCATATTAGTAGCCCTCCCCCTATTAGAAGCCCCCTTTAAAGGATCTATCCAGCAAAATTTTCAATTTTTCCCAGCAAAATCCGGTCAAAGTTTGCAAGGCCTAATAGAAGCCCCGGGGAGCTTCTAATATGGGGGGGGGGGGGGGGGTACGCTAACAACCATTTACGTAACAAGCAGAACGAAACAATGGATAATTCTGAAGGAAATTATGATAAGAAATTTAATATTACAAACAATGCTGTTGCATATGCAGTTGATTAATCTTTCCCACCTATTAAAATTATATGTGAACCAAAAGTTAATGAACAAAAAGTCGGTGCGAACATTATTAAGGAATTATTCAAACTAACCGATGATGATTTTAAACAAGCTAACCCGAAGCACAATGGCGTTATTGGATTTGAATCATGGTATATTGATTTCAACGGCAATTTACAATGTATTACCCGTGATGTTGAATTATTCATCTATCTACGTGATGTTAAACATATTCCTATTATGTTATTGGATACAAAAATTATGGTGGTTTTACCAAAGCATCTACCTCCCCAATGTTCGGTTATTATTAAAGGTGTACCTAATACATTTAGCATTGATGATGTTAAAAATGAAATTACGAATAAATATAAGTCAATGTATTCAATTGGGGAATTAGTAGGTACAAATAATGGTAGAACAAGATATCTACGACTCGATTTAACTGATACAAATGAATACAAACAATTACTTAATTCTGGAATAATATGTATCGAAGGTCAATGTTTACATGTTTTTTGAATATCTTGCAGCTCCTCGTGTTCTCTTCTGCTCAATGTGCAATTTTCCCGGCCATAACAAAAAGTATTGTAACTTTACATTTGAGCGTTGTAAAAGATGTGGAGAGTAGGGGTGTCAGATTAGCATTAGCATTGCATTAATTAATACTATTTTTAATGCTTTTGCATTAGTGTTAAAAAAATAATTTAATGCTTTGGTATTAGTATTGGGAAAGTATTAATCTAATGGTAATGCTTAGGGTTCCCAAGAACACAACAAAATTGGTTGCTTATGAGAATTTTTTTCTCAAAACAGAACAATTTTGTTCTGTTATGGGAAGCCGTTCCCAAAAAAGAACGAAATTGTTCTGTTTTGAGAAAAAAATTCCCATGAGGGAACAATTTTGTTCTGTTTTTGGGAACTATAAGCATTACCGTTAAGTTAATACTTTTCTAATACTAATACCAAGGCATTAAGTGAATTTTTTAATTTTAATGCAAAAGCATTAAGTGAATTTTTTAATTTTAATGCAAAAGCATTAAGTGAATTTTTTAATTTTAATGCAAAAGCATTAAGTGAATTTTTTAATTTTAATGCAAAAGCGTTAGCGTTTTCTTAAAACTAATGCTAAGCCGACACCCCTAGTGGAGACGATAGAAAAATTGGAGATCATAAAAATTGTGCCATTAGTTGTCATAACTGTAAGGGTGAACATGTTTCTACAGATTTTAGGTGCTAAACTGTTCAAAATTATCGTCGTGATCTTATATATTATCTTAAACAACACCCTGAAAGATTACCTGCTGATACTCAAGTTTTTATTCCTTCTCAATATCGTTCACATGGAGAGAATGTTCTATATAATAGACATCCATACTCTCAACCTATGACTAATTCATCTAATAAGAAATATCAAATTGCCAATGATGATTGGCCTTCATTACCACCTCCTTCACGCTCCAATACCAATTATTCTAGATACACTAGCTCATCTTCATCTGATGCTATTAAAAATTTACAAATACAACTGAACCATTTAGATAAATGCTGTTCTATTGATAAAAGAAAATATGAAAAGGAAAATATGGAAATAAAATCACAACTTAATGAAAGTTTAGCACAATTAAAATCATTAAATATCTGTTTTTTAACCATCATTCAACGTCAAAATGAAACCATTATTATGCTCAAAAAATACAATTAATGAATGTTTAGAAATTAATAAATACACAATCAAAGCTGTATGTTTAATGATGACAAAATCAAGTGATCAACAATATGAAGAAATTATAAAACAAATGGCAAATATCCCAATTGCTGAACGTCAATCGGCAATTGATAAAATTTTCTCAACTTATACACCACTTATTGATGAACTTACGTCGAAGATTGTGGAAATTACAAAACAGATGCAAGTATTCAATGACTAGTCAAGTTTTTCGTTATACTCTGCCCTATATCAATGATGACACTATTCATTCATTTGACGGATCACAAAGGGAGAAGTTAGAGTTAAAACAAATATTTCAGGAATGGAATTTTAGATCATGTATGTCGCATCTGTTTAAAAAGTGGAGAAAAACCAGACCTAATATTTCAGAACAAAATCATCTCTGTCTACTATATAATGTTAACTCTTTAAACAGCCATATTGTTGACATTGATGTACTGATTAATAACCACTCCCCTCAGATGTGTATACTTACTGAAATTGGAAAAGCTGTAATGAAGAAAATCCCTCATTTTCCCGATTATAATACTATACTTCAGGAAGGAACGAATTCCTTTGGAGGTGTTGCCTTTTTAATACACAAATCAATCAAATATAAAATAGTAATTAAGGAATTGAATTCTATCTTAATTGAAATTGTAACAATACCTGAACCAACTAGCGTTGGTGCAGTATATGTACCTCCCGGATCAATTTCTCCATTTCAACTTTTTACGAAATGTAGAAATAAACTTTTTTATATCTTTGGAGATTTCAATGCTAAACATACAGATTGGGGATGTGAAAGAACTAATGTTAGTGGAAATCAAATTGTTTCATGGTTGGAATTAACTGGAAATGAAATGATTATACCTGATAAACCAACCTCTCGAAGATCCAACGCTATCACTGATTTCAGTTTAACGCATGATGCCACCGGCTGGCACACCGAAGTGATTGATAAAGGTACATCAGATCACTTTCCTATATTATTACAGTCTCCTCTATGTGTTCCTTTAACATCAGTATTTAAAAAAAACAACTGGAAGTTCTTTACATTCTTTCTTAATACTGTTTATGAATATTGGTTGTCTCTTGTATACAACTATGATGAACAATTCTTTTTTACTCAATTCTCGGAATTTCTAACAAGTCTTTGGGATAGATGTAGTACTTATAAATCGGCAAGGCAATATCGACCACCATGGCCACCTCATCTGGTTGCTCTGGCTCGTGAAGTAAATAGAAGAAGACGTATACATAGACGTAATAAAACTGAAACCAACCTGTATATGTTTCTACAGGTAAAGACGCTTTTTATTGACGAACGTTCTCATTTAACTCAAAAAAAATATGACTCCAAACTAGAACGTATCGTGAAAGATCAGAACATTTGGAATTTTGTTCGCCCTACCTTTCACTCGTTTTCTCCCCCATTTCGTGGATTAACTGTTAATGCAGTCATAATGAAAAATCCTAAAGATATAGTTGATACACTAGCTAATCATTATGAGCAACATTTTGCTGAACCTACACCTGATATGAACAATGAAATACAACGAAAATATATATCTACTTATAATAAAATTTCTCTTCTGTCCAATATTCCATTAGAGAGAATACTTCCTATTCCCAAAAGTTACACATTCCTGCATCGCCTTCTGACCCGAAATCCCTTACCATCAATTCCAGAAAACCTAAAACGACCCTTTCCCTCAAATACATGCCACAACCAGGAATTCCTGATACGTAGTTCCTTTCAAATCCAACTCTCAACATCCAATTCCTGATCATTCCGGGTAATTCCAGAATTCGAAGGATATACTGAATAACGAAATGATCATCTTAAAAGATCTATTCGATATCAAAGCGGAATTCCGGAATTTGTGCATATCCGGAATCACTAGGAAATGCAGGAATTCCTGGTCATTCCATATCGATGCAATTCCGGAATTCTAAAACGGAATTGCATCTTTATTTCTATAGCAATGTTCAGTTGAACATGAATACCAGCTTATGCAAGAATTGGTAGGAATTCCGTAAAATTCGATGGCATGGGTAGGAATTGGATGTCAGGAATTCCGGAATTGAATGATGATGAGTTTGTTGGCCTTATGCGATGCAGGAATGTGTAACTTTGCGAAATAGGATGACTGCTCCCATTAGACCCGATACCAATAAATGAAGTAATTAAGGAGTGGAGAAAAATGGCAGCGAAAAAATCTACAGATAGTGTTGACACCTGAGCTTTTTTTATTGAAAAAACTTCCGGAACAATATTTGAACATAATGACCGTATTGTTCAATAAGTGCTCGGATAAAGGTGAATTTTTTCTGGCTGCAAAACATGCCAAAGGAATATGTATCCCGAAGGAAGGTGTTTACCCGTCCCCTAATAGACTACGACCTATATCATTACTTCCAAATATTGAAAAGTGCTTTGAACGTATCGTTCACAATTGTATACAATCGTGGTGCAAGAATAATAATATATACATTGATGAACAATCTAGTTTTTCTCCTGGTAGGCGATTACAGACAAGAACAATTTCCCTTATTGAAGAATTAAGAATGACTGTTGCAGCGAACAATCGACCTGCGTTAGTAATATTCATCGACTTTTTATGTACTTTCGATAGAATGTGGACCCCTACTCTCATTGCTAATTTGTACGAACTGAATATGCCATTACCACTTTTAAAATGGATATTCAACTGGTTAAAAGATAGATCCTTTTGCATCCACTATGGTGATGAAAAGTCTCGTAAAGTCCAAATGAAAATAGGAGCTCCCCAAGGCTCTGTTATTGCTGCAACCCTATTCAGACTTCATATACACTGTCTTCCCTTGTATTTTAAAAATGTTGAACTTCACCTTTTTGCTGATGACCTTGCTCTTGTTCTATCTGGTTCACTTGAAAAGAAGTTCTGTGTAAATGTTAAAGAACTGGAAGACAAAGCAGCTTTAATCTTAAAAAGGTTGGGAAAATTTGCAGATGATCTAATTCTACCAGTAAATATATCCAAAACAAAAGCTCTTCTTGTCCACAGTATTGTATCTCCTTCATACCCCCATCTCAATTATAAGTTGCAACCAATTGCATATGTTAAAAGATTTAAATATTTAGGAGTATATATTTCTACAAAATTAGGATGGGATACTTACATTAATGAATGTCTGCAAACTATAAGTAAAATCTATAACGGTATGAAAATAGTATTTAAAACGATTAAAATGAAGGATATCAACGTACGAAGAAAAATTTCCTTTCATTTGCTCTTCCACATTACTTATGGTTATTTTCGACATGGTTCTACTACACTGATAAACAAAAAGAACGCATTGAACATACGTTTTGTCACGGACTTAGAATTGTATATAATCTACATCAGTGGGATGATATAACAACATTAGATCTTGCTAGAGATAAATCACTACGTGATTATCTGTTTACATATTGGCGTCGACTAGTTTTACATTTGCTTAACTCCCCTGAAGCCCTTTCTTTCCAACTGACCTGGAATGCATATCTTACCATTACGTCTCTTGATAATAGCTGGTTCAAGTCAATGGGATTTCGTAAGAACAGTAGTTTTCCAAATAGATTAATTGATCAAGTGAGGCACTGTCTAATTGACTGGATAGATTTTGATGTAGTTCATGATAAACAATACGAATACTTTAGGAAATCAACAAATATGATAAACTCCTTCATATATAAATACTATCTTTTACCACCTTAGACCTTTGATATCTAAGTTACAATTAATAATCTGAACCTGAGAATGAAACGATTTAACCCTAATTATATAATGACACATTAATTAAACCTGGAAATCGATCTTGTGATACCGTCAATGAATGCATGGTGTTATCTAGATATTGTCCTCAGAATGATAAAACTGTTATATGTATCATTTTTATTTATTGTTTTTCTTCGTCTACTACTTCTTATTGTTTGTTGTCGTTGTTCTATTGTTCTACAGTTAGTAGTCCCTTTTATTATATTCCTTGATACTGCTCGTTCTTACTATATATTCTGTTACTACTTTTATTTACCTTATTGGGTGTTTGTTATGTGACATTACTTTCATTATAACTATTACTTTATCTAGTAGTGTACTGCGTTACTCCCTGTATTTGGTGTTTCATGTTCGTTTTTCCATTGTCTCTCTTTTAATATCTCCCCTGTGAACCAGTTACTTATGGCACAATAAAAGTAGATATTAAAAAAAAAAAAAGTATAAGAACAGAAATGAAAGTAAAGATATCGAATCAGAATAGTCAATATACTTGAAATCGTTAACGTTGAGATGAGTTTAATACTTTTATACGAAGAAAACGATAAACAATAAGTAATACTTGTTTAAGACATCCGAATACTAAAATTGAGTTCTGAAAAGAAAATTCATCGTCTAAAAAATAATCATGCATTAATGAAATAATATATTTTCAAGATTATCAATTGAACTAGTTTTTAAAAATGATTGTTTTTTTTTAACTTTTCCCCGTATTATATTACGTTTTAAATATTCGAGCAGCACTACAATAAGTACATTGTATAGCGCAATCAAAGAGCTTCTGTTCTTAGTTATTAGTAGTCCATGGTGACGCGGTATTTTCTAGTTCGCAATAAATATTGAAATCAAATTTTCAGTTCACCTTTTTCAATTGAAGATAAATAGCTTATGTTTCAATTATGTTCCTTATTATTATTGTCTTTGTTCTTTTTTCATTTAACT